TGTAGGGTCTGAGGATGTGGAGTTGCTGTCCTTAATTTGAAAAGGATGGTATCATGCTCAATTTGTGTAGTAATATCCAAGTATTTGGGAAAAGTGAACCTGAATTTGAGTTGAGTGAGTTTGAAAAACAAAACAAAAAACAATTTCAAGGTTATGACTGAGAAGAAAATTAATAGCTAAAAACCATTGTAGAGGTAGCCCTGAATCTTCTTTTTACCAGGGATCAATTTCAGGGAAAACAGTTTTTCCACGGACTGGCGGGGCTAGGATGGTTTTGTGCACTTCCTTGATCTTGCTTATGCGTAGATGAAGCTTTGCTCGCTTGTGCAGCCCGATTCCTAATAGGCTATATATCAGTATCCTAAGGGTTGAGGACCCCTGCATTATAGGACTCAAAAACTGATTAGTGAAAATTGGCAGGTAAAATCCCTTGTTGAGATTTATCTATTGGAACCAAGCTCTCAGTCATAGCTTCTCTTCAAAAGAAGCATTTTGTTTTAAACTAAAGTTCCACTGTAAGTAGTCCTTTAGTTACAAGTTTTTGTTCAACTGTTTCACATTTCAAGCACAAATTCAACAAATTTCAAGCACATGGCGACCAGTTCACTTATGAGTAGTTTCATGTTCCAGAATCACATGATCACTATTTGTAACTCTCCCAATTGACTTTCCAAAAGCAAAGCCAATGGGAAAACCAGCAGGGAAGGTTGCAAGTCACTCAGGCAAATCTCCTAAATCTCAAGTTATATTTTTGCTCTTGGCACCATACCTTCCTCCTCCCCTTGGCTGCACGCCCTCTTTCTCTGGCTGAGTTTGAGTTTGCATTACACTGCAGCAATCCCTTACCTCAACTTGTGCATGGCTCTGCCCAACCCCATGGCATCCTAAACTACCTGGGACTTATTAAATTCCTTAAGACCAATAGGATAACAATTTTTAGTCAGGATAACCGTTGGTTCTCATTCACCTGGAGAGCTTGGAAAAAAGATAATTGTACATATTTGATTTTAACATGATATACTTTGTAAGATTTCCACCAATCTTAATTATATTGACCATATCTGTCTTCCCCTTAGGCTTGCTGGACAATAAGAGTACATTGTCAGGAAAAATAATCTCTTTTGCTACTAGATGTCTAGAAGCCATGTATGAATATTTTAAATACCGTGTTTCTCCTACAATATGGCCTCCAGCAATAGGAAGGCCCAGCATGATTTCTAGGCATGAAGTGAAATTAAGCCCCGCCCCCCCAAATTTAGGCCTATTTAATCCATGCATTTCCCCGCCATTTCTCACATCATTCGTTAAAACTACATGAGGTGAAGAGAAATGGGGGGGGGGATTTGCCTTTAGGAGCACCCTGCAGGTAACCTAGGCTAGAATACCCCAATCTACTACCGATAGAGCATCGGCCAATAGAAGTTCCCTGAAGGCAGTCACCAGCCACTTCTATCGGCCAGTAGAAGTGGCCTCGGGGCGAGCACCCACGCTCACTCCCCTCACCACGAAGCCATTTCTATCGGCTGATGGAAGCTCCCCAAAGGCAGAGTCACCAGCCACTTCTATCGGACACCTTGCCCTGAAGCGGCTGGTGACTCTACCTTTAGGGAGTTTTCATCGGCCGATAGAAACAGCTTCATGGTGAGGGGAGTGCGTGTGGGTGCTCGCTGTGAGGGCGCTTCTATTGGCTGATGGATTTCCTCCCCCCCCCCACACACACACACCTAGAGCGCCCCATGCGCACTCGACTCTCCATGCCACTGCTTCTACCAGCCGATAAAAGTGGTGGGTGACTCTGCCTTTGGGGAGCTTCCATTGGCCGACTGAAGCAGCCTTGTGGAGAGGTGAGTGCGCCTGGGGCGCTCTAGGTTGGGGTGCATGTGGGGGAGGAAATTAAGTCACCCCCGAAAAGACGTCCTAGATGTTTTTTCGGGGCTCAAAAATAAGACCCGGCCTTATTTTATGAGAAACACAGTAACTGTGGTAATATTGTATTTAGTACGATATATTTAGAATTTCTTAGAAGTAATAAAACAAGCTATCTGGATCTATATCATTATAAAAGGGTATATAGCAACAGTGACTAAGACTTGCAACTTTGGCCCAAAAATCAAATTCTGAAATATTTTCTAAACCAGCTTTGTCAGTCAAAATTATCAGTCTTTTAAACTGGCATGGTTTTATGTTCCTAAAATCACAGGTGGCTGAAATATGTATATCCATTATCCGTAGAGCAGCAATGTATTTTTTTTACAATATTCAATGCCAAATTAATAATTGTAATACTGTTATTCACTCACTAAGGCTGTTCTGTTGTCAAGCCACATTGAATTATTGCATTCTAATCCTGTAAATACCTAAATATGGTTTCTCTTTTTTATCCTAAGCACAAAGAAAAGGCTGCAGTGTGATGACTCTACAATTAAAAATCTGAAATTCCTAACACCTGTAAGACGGTCCTGCCGCATCCATGAAAAAGCGAATAAGTTACCAAGTATGCTGAAAGATCACAGTCCTTGTGTTTCTTCGCTTGAACAGCTTGGAGAATTGGGAGATGAAGGCACTGGTTTCATCTACAGACCAAACAATGCTTTGCAAACTGTCAACACTGCAACTACCAGTCAACAGGAGCAAAGCAGAGAATGAAAGCACGTGTTTTTATTTAAACCAAAATTAACTCAGTGCAGGTGTTAAATTCCTATGGTTTAACTAACTTTTAATTTAGCTTTACTGTTACTAAATAAATAAAACACATGTAATATGGAAATAATTGCTATGCTTTAACATGTAAAGGAGATACATTTATACCAATGTTACCACTGAATGAAACCATTAGAGAGCATTTCACCATTAAGAGAAACTAATTGTATAATGAGATGCATGTTGGGCACTTAAGTTAAACTTTGTGGGCAAGGAACAGAAGAACATTGTGTCTAATTTGTAGATCTGAAGATAAATCTTTCCAAATAATGGCCATTAGTCATTAACAGTTTTGATAATTTTCAATGTGTTGAATGTTAATTCACTTGTACTGATGTTGTAAACTTTTTAAATTTACCTTTTTCAAAACTTGTCTGAATTTCATATCTCTCGCTGTAGATATATATATATGTATATTATACTGTATAATATACATATATATTCTATGTACGTTTGTATATATGTATGTTTATTATATATGTTTGGGTATAGAACATGAAATAGAACATTAACAACTCTTGAGAAGTGTGGGGAAATAAAATTGCCAGTTTTATAAATGCTGTTCTGAAAGATTTGATCAGTGGTTGGAAATAGCATGCTAATAATGATTTAATATAAAAATGTGAGTGCCTATTAATAACATTAGGAGTAACAGTTTGTCAGCTGAAATC